CGTTTCTGACGAACATTTTTTATCGGATTCGTATTTGCTCATTTTTTTACATTTGGCACGAAGGAGTTATCATTCAACAGCTAGCTAAAAGCATCATCTTTCCGAATGTGAAAAATCTCGTTCATACGCAGAGTAATTCAGATAAACAGCGCGCTGAATTTTGATTACGTTTTTTTTATACACCCTGTACAGCAAAGACTGTTGATTATGACCTATGTTTTGTAGGATGCGCACGCAACGACCATAACTGCTTCTTGTTGAGTTTATAAACGAAATGTAATATAGCTATTATAGCAAGCAAATATATAACAAATGCAATGCTATATATTACTTATAATTAATATTGCACCTCTTATTAATTTATAGGAAACCACACAGTCGCTGTTATTAAAGGGCAAGAATGTTATGCGCTTTTGAAGTGTTCTTGTTCTGAGTTATTCAAATCAATCAACAAAATTACCAAAGCTAGTGGGAACAATTAGAGTAGATGATCTGGATGTAATGGTGGATATGTTTCCTGGAGGTGATTATAAGGTAGCCTGCTAGCTAGATAGTTCATTTTGATACATCTGTACATTAAATTTACAAATTCAGAGAATGGTAATATTGATTATTGAATTTTTAGTCTCTATTGGAAATATGTGGCATGGAAGGGGCCGCATCTGACCGTTCTTGAGTTTGGTGTGAACTTCACAAAAAGCAAAGGTAATTCGTTAAATTTAGGGTGGTTAAACTGACATGCGGTTAGAAATATCTCTATAAATGTTACTTCAGTTTTTCAACAATTTATGTTAACTTTTATATACCTTCTTGTATGTCTTAAATTTCTGGCGATGTTAAGAAAATTAGTAGTCGAACTCTGCATATTGTACAAGCCAATGATCAGGCCCGCTCAATGATCGGCCGGACAACACAGCCTTCACACAGCCACAATGAGGATAAAATGTTGACCGCTATATGCAATGTGAATTTCAGCTAATGCTAAAATAGCAAATTAAATTAACGAAACCGTGCATGTATTCAACTAAGAATTTTAATATAATTAAGCTAACTTCGACGTCATTAGTCTAATATTAATTTTTACTGAATCCAGCACGGCTCGCTGATAGCATTCTGTTCAAAAGGTTTACTTCGCAAGCGGGAAGTCGTTGTTCGGAAATATATAAGAGGTCAAAGAGTAGGGCAAGTACATAGGCTATGTTATTTTCACAAACTGATATAAGTCTATGTTGAAGTTTTAATATTGAAAAGCAATGCCGGAAGTCTAAAATTAAAAAAAAAGTGAAATTTTTCTTGCTTTCCCGTAAGGACTTATTTTTCCATATGCATGTGGATTGACGCCATTCTTCCAAATAAGGTTTATCTGTAAATTGATATTGATGTCACGATATGAAAAATATGTAGGTAATGCCTACCTCCGGATTACTGAGAATGCAATAAGTCGATAAGGAATACTATTTATGGATTCGGTAACATCCGGTGACGAAAATATAGACATCATAAAGTCCAGGAACACGAATTTTTAGTTGAAGCTTTATTTGCTTAAATAGATTTTAGTTCCTGTTTTTTTTGTTATTTTAGAAATGTTTTTGGTATCTTACAACAACAGGAATATTTTTTGCTAGTTAATACAGAAATATATTAGAAAACTATGTATATATAGTACAATTTTATTTATTTGTTATTTATTCATTTTGTCACACACATAAAAGATATACATCTAAACATAGAGATATAACAATAACTTGAAAATGCTGTGACAGGAGAAGCAAACAGAAACTAAATTCCATTTGATATTCGACCCCTTAACAATTAATGCATAACGAGACGTATAGGCTACTAAGACAATTATGCACGAACATATCACAGATTACATGCAAGTTAACATATACTGTAGGATACGGTACAACGAAATTTTAGAGTAAAATTATCTATATGGTGGTATATAGGTAAACAGTTTTGCTTTGTAATAAGAGTGTATAGAGATGCATGGTGCTTGAAGATCTGTAGGGAATGGGCCGCTTTGATGTTCGGAGGACGGTGCGTGGGAAATATATAAGGATTGTCGGAATAATTCTTGATTATTGGAGACGATTATCTTATAGGCCTATAGTTGTTAGGGTGGAAGTTGCGTGTGGAATAGGGGTTATAGTCGCAGGTGAAAGGTATTGGTTAAAGGTGACTTTAATAGAGTTGTATTTGATTTTATATAATACTATTAGGTCATAAAGTTCACGCCTGTGTTCAAGTGGGAGAATGTTTGAGGATATTAGTCTGTCTCAGTAAGTAACATAACAACGGGAGCGATATAACTTAACTTGCAAAGCCTCTTGTGTTGATTTTGGATAACGTTATTTCGCGATTCTATATGTGCTTTTTTTCGTGATTTTATTGAGTAGTCTACAAAATCTACTATTAATAGTCTAGACACGATACGACAAACACTCACAAGAACAAATAGAACTACTGACAAACAGAACAACGACATAAACACATTTTGTAGAAGACCCAAACGGTCTAAACGGCCAAATTAAAACACGAACAAGACACAAAGTCCCATGCAAGGTGATCACCGTCACAATACAACATAAAACGGACTCTACAATGTCAATGTCCAAAGACAGACAAGAAATAAACAGTACAGTATTTGAAGCGAAGATACGCACATCCGATCGAGATCGATATTTCCATAAAGTGCCTTGAAGAAGAATACCAAATTTCTTATTTCTATTGCATAACATGCACAGGGGAAGTATAAATTGAGGTTTGTTAATCGCTTTCATATAGGTAATCTCTCTCCTCGCTTACATATAATTTAATTAGAAACAACAAAGATTATAGCCTACAATATGTTCCATGCCTAATTTTCGCGAAGGCCTAATTGTTGAAGAACAGCAGTCTTCAATACTTGCGCAGAAATGTGATCGACAGCACGATTTAACCCGCAACAACACGTATAGGCTACGCGCGTATTTTGCTCCATGACGTAAAAGGCATCTTTCTCAAAGTGTATGCTCCTTGAGTACCCGTAATAGAAATTGTACAGTATTGCGGAGTGCTTAATGGCTTTTGATATCAACAAAGAATCTTTCTCGTTTCTTAATCAGCAGTAAATCAGCAAATATTGGATAATCTAAACGGCCAGAAGAGTATAAAAGCATTAACTTAACGACTTTCGCCTGTATATAATCCATTCAACGGGAAATTGAAAGACGCTGCATGCATCACGTTACTACCATATACAGGTTAGTTACATGTTGCGATGTTTAGTTATTCAGGCAGTATATTAGTCTAACTCATTGCACAGCTATATAAAGTTGGGCAATTAATTTAGCACGATATTTGTTGGAACATCAATAAGTCACGAAATTCCTCGATATATAATGATATTATAATAGTACCTGAACTGTGCATATATATCTTATAGCAAGGCCTATATAGCTAGTGTAGCTATGTAAAAGTATATATTTTTCGGTCGGTAGTAAACATTGCGTATATATATTTCTAGAAAGTGTTCTATCCAAGGAAAACACTGGAATTACGAGAGATTAGAGAACCATTTGCAATTATTTGCTTCTTCAATAACGACAACTTTACTCCCAATACTTAATTATGTAGTTGCATGGCTATATCAATTCCTGTACGTACGTTAATTAATTATCATATTTCTACACAAAAGCTTAAAAAAATGTAGTAGAATTTGACGGAACTTAACAAGTTCGTTATTCGAGGTTGACTTGAATAGACACAATATATCTGATCAAGTTTTCACAGTCTTAAAACTGCTACAATTGGTAAATAAAAGCCACAATAAATCAAATGTACTAAAAAGTTATTTAATTTAAAAAAGAGTTGTTAAAAGCAGTGTTATTGGGGGTTTACTTCATCATGCATCATGTACTGTAGTTTCTATAGAAAGTATGTTATATTATACACTCCGTATTCGGAATAACTGCATGTTGTTCTATATTTGACTTCATCTTGCCCCTCGCAATATTGTTGACATTATTTACAATATCTGTAATCATCTAATAACATCAATACTCTAACTTGTGCATTTCCAATCGGACATTTCATATATATATATATATATATATATATATATATATATATATATATATATATATATATATATATATATATATATATATATATATATATATATATATATATATATATATATATATATATATATATATATATATATATATATATATATATATATATATATATATATATATATATATATATATATATATATATATATATATATATAAATATATATAAATATATATATATAAATATATATAAATATATATATATAAATATATATAAATATATATAAATATATATATAAATATATATATATATATAGAGGATATTTCACGGTGGCGCGGAAATATGAATTTTATTTTCGAGTGGTGAAAACAATATTTTACGAACGAGCGCAGCGAGTGAGTAAAATATTGTTTTCAACACGAGAAAATAAAAGTCATATTTCCAAAGCCACCGTGAAATGTTCTTTTTATTATATGGCCAAACTAAATTTCATCAAGATGTTTTGTAGCTCACCGTACGGCAACAATGTTATGTCTCTCCGCTCGTTTATCGAGGCTAAATAGTCGCTGCATGAAGATCGCCAAATCGGACTTAGTCTTCCTTTTTGTGTTTTCATTTTCATCAGAAAACCTTGCCAAATCAGCGAATGTCGAGAAGTTGCCATATTGTATATTCAAAACAGAAACGGCAAAATGGCGGGAATTAGCGTGGGTCCCGCGCGAGACGTTCCCGCGTAAGATATGATTTCATATTTCACTATAGTGAAATACGGGAAATATTAGTGGCGTATTTTACGGTATTTTACTCATATCCATATAATAAATATATATATATATATAATATATATATTATTATTTTTTATATTTTTAGATATCTACCTTATATCTCTTGGACAGTTGTAATTATTCGGCTGTATAATCACACCAGTAATAACATAAATAATGCCAACAGATAACAATAGTACTTACGAAGAAGGCTTCGTTGATCCAGCCTCAAAAGCGAGATTTCCTGTGATTGTTACGTTGTACATACCAGCGTTCCTAGTCTCTGAAATTGGCAACGGATTTCTTGTGTACTCACTAGCCTATATGAAACGTCGTCAACGTACGGCTATTGATAGTTACATATTAAACCTTGCTATTTCCGATTTTTTATTGACAACAATGACATTGTTCAATGCAATCGAATACGTAAGAAATGAATGGGTGTTAGGCGAAGCAATGTGTAAAATTCATGGCCAATTGTTGGAAGTATGCTACACTGTTGAAATTTTGACTCTTTTAGCTGTCAGCTATAAACGTAGGAAGGCAGTGGACAATCCTTTTCAGGTATTCGATGCAAGAAAGGCATTACATCGAAATATAGCATTATTATGGTTAGCTGCATTTGTCCTAACTTCCCCGTTGTCATATGCCTACACGATCGCGAGAAGAAACATAAAATTTCATTGCAGCAACACGAATTTTGACAAAATGTCACGATCAATATATTATCTTCTTCAAAGCGTGATCCTATTCTTCGTTCCTGTCACGATCATGATAGCGTCCCAACGGAAAATAACGAAAGGTTTACGACAGCATTGCCAGATTTACAGCGCAGCAATGGACTGCAAAAATGCTCATTGGAAAAGAGTGATGGCTCGCGAAAGGAGAGTTGGCAAGTTTCTAACTTGCATTTGGGTTGTTTTTGTCTGCTGCTTTACACCTAACATCACTCTGCGTACAATAGATCATTTCATATACATAAGAAGAAACGAAAACTGGAACCAAATCTGGCACCTAAGTCAATTCTTAGTGCTACTAAATTCAGCCATTAATCCGTTCTTGTACTATCGGACAACAAACAGAGACGGTGCTAATGTTAGTCGTATCGTTAAATTATTTTGTTGCATGCGAAAAAGAAACAAGCGCGAGGTTGCATGTAAACCAGTTCCAATGAAAGTCGCCCAATGAATAATCCGATTTGGCGGGGTTTTTTTTCCAAAAACCATACAAACATACCACATAACTGTGTTGGCATACACGTTTTTGCTGTTACCAAGTACAACACTCTCTTTAGAGAAAATAACGGTTGTCGCCGAAATTATAACATATATGGAAACGGGCATGCCAGGGCGGTAATTATGCCAAACTACCCGGAAGGGAGAGGTAGGGTAGGGGGAGGGGGGGGGGAGAGAAGACATAGACCGAAAAAAATTATTAGTCAGATTCTCAAATTAAAGACAAGTACATCATGCGATGTCACCGCCAACTTCGTAATAGGACTGGAGTACAGATAAATCAACTACTCTGAAAAAAAACATAACCAGAAAAAAAATTGAGATTACAATTATATAAAGATGATGTAAAGTCTGTAATGTAAACAAAGGCTTTGTTGAAATTTTGAGCTCAGTGCTACAGTGATAAAAATGATTAGATATATATTTTACTGAATTTTGACACTCCTCGCAGGTTCGCTATCATTGTAAATGAATATACACTAGATAATTAATTCAAGAAAGTTCGGAAGGTGCGAAATATTAATAATATTCCAATGGTCGGGTCCCGACAATTGCAGTATAGGTATGCGCGGAACGACATTTACAGCATTTTTAAGATTTGGGTTAGACAGAAACACACATCATTCCCTCATTTTATTTGTCTATTAAAGACGAAGGGGATGCCAGTAGATTCACCGTGAAACGATGTTTATTATTTCAATATTTTTGCTTGTATATGTTTATAGAAAGATAATATATATCAACCTCGTACCCAGGCTCTTTTCACAATGTTTCTCGCTGGAGGAAAGACCCTGGAAATAGCTGATCACGTGACTCTAGATTCTGGGTGCTAAATTGAAATTGTACTTGGGGGAGGGGGGGTTAGAGGAGTGCGCTTCTGGCCTTTGGAAAATTACAACTTGTGTGTTATAGTTTCGGGCGTTAAAATTTAAATTTGCAACAACAAATCCTGTAATATTTTGTATTTATTATCATAAATATTCCTCTATATCATTGAGTTTTCGGTTACATTAGTCAAGGGAGAAGTTGGATCAGATTTCAGTGGACATCATGGCTTGGCAACCAAAGCACTTTAAGCGCGCTTCGCTCAGTTCACTCTAAAAATCGTCCGGACCGAAGATTCTTTCTGTTGTCAGTATTGAAGTGTATCCTGTCTGATACGTAAACCCAACGGATGTGCCTTACTGTCTTATGTAGAGATGTGGAATTGCTATAGAATAGCAAGATTTTGTGATCCCGCCAACTGCATGTATGTAAGTTCTAAACAGTACATGTAACTCTAAACATGCTCTCCCGACTGTGAAAAGCCGGTCAAATACTGTGATATATAACGTTTTGGCATCGCTGAGACTCTGTGATCAACAATTATGTCGATGTACAGTTTTCTGTTATCAAACATATGGTAAAGTCATCCGATGCAGGAAAAGGCAAAGACTCCTTTTTTGCGTGCGGAACAATTCATTGAATATTTAAATTATACACAAGACAAAATATAGTATTGTATAATATGCGTATGCATACAATTATTTCAAATTTATTACAGTAATACACCAGGCACACAGTGGCGGAAATCTTGGTGGAGCGGGGGGGGGTGGGGGGAGCGGAATTTTCGGAAATTTTGACCAAAAAGAGGGCTAAAAAAAGTCTTCTCGAGTGCAAATGGTGGCGTATGTCGGAAATTTGAAAGTTTTGTCGGAAATTTAGGAGGCTTCTCTCCGCCTCTGAATTTCCGCCACTGCAGGCACATTATAAATATTATAAACAGCTTTCATTGCCACCTAGCTTGATCTATCCTAAATTGTATTTTGTCGTGGAATAGCATGAAATCCAGCTTGTATTTTTAAATAAAGACACGCTGCTCATCTGTGAGACATCAAATAATTATATAAGTATATAGCGTCCAACTATGCCGCACTAGCAGTGGCGTAACGGAGAAACAGGGGGCCCTTAGGCATATTTGGTGTGGGGGCCCCTGTTGACTGTTGTCATTGTTTGACTCATGAGATACATTTTTATATTGAGTATTTATAGAATGTAGTCTGGAAAATTCCATCAATAGCAATAACAGTCTCCAATACTTGTAACAGCTAATAAGAATAACATTTGTTTTGGGATGGAATTAAAAAATCAGCTACCGTTGTCGATGGATGCTTAATTCTTTAGCATTATTATTTTTGCATCATGTTTTCCCATTAATTCTTAACCTATGCATTTTTTACATTTTCTACTTTTCTGGGCGATAGGCCGTGAGTGATGGGGCCCCTAACTGTCGGGGTCCCTTAGTTTTGGAACTAAACGTACCTATCCAGTGAGCGCTAGCTACGCCACTGCGCACTAGAGACATACAACTTATCAATATATCAATAGAAACTTTAAAATGGTTACAGAATCTCATAAAGTAAAAAAAGTAATGATATGTCTGTGGGAGGCATTGTGCGTATTAGGGTTAATATATATATATATATATATATATATATATATATATATATATATATATATATATATATATATATATATATATATATATATATATATATATATGAACTCGTATAAGATGAGTCGTTTTTGAAGCCATTTAAAGCACTTGTAGTCGTGTTGTATCACATATAAAACACTCCGCTACGCGTCGTGTTTTATATGTGATAAAACACTCCTACGCGTGCATTAAATAGTACATATATATATAAGTAGTAATATAAGGGACGATCGGGCCGGATTTTTGCGGTGGTGGAGTGTGGTGGAGGAGTGAGGAGGAGGAGTGAGGAAGAATGAGGGTGCGTAATGACGTCACTCATTAACATACGTCATAATTATATGCAATGAGTTTAAACAAGATCGGTTGAAACTTGCTGACTACGCATTTTTTAGCATCCCTCCTCGTGTGCGACACAATAGTTAGGGCTATATACAAGAGAATATGTTGTTGTCTGGAGTTTTATAAGTACAGCTCTAGCATTTTGCTGTTATTGTCAAGTGATTTCTTTAATTTAGCTCCTAGAGGAGTAAAAAATCTGATACTATATGAAATAGCATTAGTGTTATATATCTAAAACTTATATATTCGGGGTATACAGCTATATGTTTTGTTGTTAAGTAATATATAAATATTATCAAGCGTCAAAACGCTGAGAAATAGCATGCGGTAAGAGTTATGTATCTACAATTAAGCTAAGATTTAAATCCCGATCTGCCATAGGAGAGAATATGTTGCTGTCAGAGTTATATAAACACATGGAAGTTAGAGGTCATGATATACAATTGTCAAGTGATTTCTATATTTTAGTGCTAGGTTTTTAAAGTACTAAAACTCGGATAAGGTTAATAAATTTAAGTTGTATTAAAGCACACCGGTTGCTATGTGTTGTTAGGGTGCAACTAATTAAAGGATTAACTTTTATCAGAGATTTGCATTTTTCTACTGTGTGGATAAATACGGGTAGATTAGGATATTCATTGCGCGGGCGTCGCGGGTTATCCGTGCGGGAAGAGAGAAAGCGATCTAGACAAGACAGGAGCGCTTTGCAGCCAAAAGTTGAAAGACTTTGTGTGGAATCCTGTAATGGTTGTCAAGTTGGTCATCCTAGTCAAAGACAACATGACTGCCTCATGATGAACGAAAACGAACGATGGCAAATAAGGAATCTATTCGTCACAAAAATCAAGACATATTTTATACTAAACAGTTCCTAATCCCGAGTTGTCAACGTCGTTGTTAAGGTTAATATTTACATGTTGTTCAACGTTATTTTAGCAAATATTCTACATACATATATATTGTTAAGATGACCGAGTCAGATCATAAGTAAGCTTATCAAGAATATAAGTTAGAACTGGAACAGTTGTAATATATTTTGCGATAAAAACATGTAATCGTTATATACGTTGTTGTCACTTGTTTCAGGGGTTTCGCTCTCAGATTCTTCATCATAGCTACTTTCATCATCGTGGTGGCTTTCATCTAAGATATTGATATCCTAAGATACTGATATCCTAAGATACTGATATCCTAAGATACCGATATCCTAAGATACCGATATCCTAAGATACTGTGATATCCTAAGATATTGATATCCTAAGATATTGATATCCTAAGATATTGATAACCTAAGATACTGATATCCTAAGATACGGATATCCTAAGAAAATGATATCCTAAGAAAATGATATCCTAAGATTCTGATCAGCTCCTTAGGCTCGGAGCCAGCTCCTTAGGCTCGGAGCCAGCTCCTTAGTTTCGGAGCCAGCTCTTTAGGCTCGGAGCCGAGCTCCTTAGGCCCGGAGCCAGCTCCTTAGGTTCGGAGCCAGCTCTTTAGGCTCGGAGCCGAGCTCCTTAGGCACGGAGCCAGCTCCTTAGGTTCGGAGCCAGCTCTTTAGGCTCGGAGCCGAGCTCCTTAGGCTCGGAGCCAGCTCTTTAGGCTCGGAGCCGGGCTCCTTAGGCTCGGAGCCAGCTCCTTAGGCTCGGAGCCAGTTCTTTAGGGTCGGAGCCAGCTCCTTAGGCTCGGAGCCATTTGCATAGAAACACGGTTCTATGTATTGTTGCTTTCAGGAAGAGCTTCTGTGAAGCTTCTGTAAAGCTTCTGTGAAGCTTCTGTGAAGCTTCTGTGAAGCTTCTGTAAAGCTTCTGTAAAGCTTCTGTGAAGCTCTTCCGGAAAGCAACAATACATAGAACCGTGTTTCTATGCAACTGGCTCCGAGCCTAAGGAGCTGGC